GGGGTTCTTGGTTCTCCCTGAGTTCTGGGCAACGGGACGGGGTTCAGCGTTTCTCCTGAGGTTTCAGGCAGGGGGGATGGGGTCCCAGTTCTCCCGGGCAGGGGGGATGGCGGTCCGGTTCCTCCCTGAGGTTTCTGGCACGGGGCGGGTCCGGTTCTCCCGAGGGTTCGGCAGGGAGATGGGGTTCAGTTTCTCCCGATATCCAGCAGGGGGGATGGGATCCGGTCTCCCCGAGGTTCCTGGCAGGGGAATGGGGTTGGTTCTCCGAAGTTTCCAGAGGGGTCATGGGGTCCGGATTTTCTCCTGGCAAGGGATGGGGTTTCCAGTTCTCCGAGGTTCCGCAGGCGATAGGGCGGTCCGATTCTCCCTGGCAGGGGTATGGGATCCGGTTCTCCCCGGAGGTTCCGGGCAGGGGGGATGCGTTGGTTTCTCCCGAGGTTCTTGGCACCGGGGATTGGCGGTCCGTTTCTCCCCCGAGGTTTCCGCACGGGGATGGGATCCGGTTTCTTCCCCAAAGGTTTCCGCACGGGGGATGAGGTCGCGTTTCCCCGAGGTTCGGCACGGGATGGGGTCGGTTTCTCCCGAGGTTCACGGTACGAGATTGGGGGTCCGTTCTCCCAGAGTGTTTCAGGCATGGCGATGGGGTCTGGGTTTATTCCGAGTCCTGACACGGGGATGGGATCAGGTTTCCGGGGTTTCCTGCCCACGGGATTGGGGATCCAGGTTTTTCCCCGAGTTCCTGCACGGCGTGGGAATCCGGTTTTTCTCCCCGAGGTTCCTGCACGGGGATGGGACCGGTTCTTCCCGAGCGTTCCGCACGCTGAGCAGCAGCCTGAAGGGGTATATTGCATCCCGCCTTGGCCCGACCTCTCTCTGGACGGGCGAGAACATTAGTGGCGGAACGTTTCTGTGTCGTCGGAAGGGCCAGGATGAAAAGGAAGGCTCTTTCCATCCCCTTCAACGGGTCCACCTGCCCCCCAGGATAACATTAGAAGTGTGAGTTGGAGATCGAACTGTCTTATGTCATAAAATTCCTACTATAAACTATGCAATTGGCCACTTTAGACGGTATTAGTGTTATCTCTACATTAACCTGAAATATCTGGGAATCAGAAAGTATAATGGACAACAATAATTTAGGACCTTAGGATTAGATTTTCTAGTATTGTATTTCTAAAAAAGGAAAAGGGGGAGCATTTTGTCCCCCGGGGAGAAATCGCGGGGGCATTGCCTGAAAGGACGTTTCTGGGCTGCGTGATGAGGGGGACGCTTTACCAGACAACCAGTGGGAAGCGACCAGAGACGTGCTAAAAACCACACCCTACAATTGCACAGCACCGGACCCATCGCAAAAAGCTTAGTTAGAATGTCAGTAATGCGAAATTTCTCCTTCATGGGAAGGAACCCCGAAATGAGGGGTCAGAAGGGACCCAGGCGCACGGGCCAAGCTACGGCGGCTCATTCGTTATTGGGCATTTGGGCCCAGTTGCACAAGCTTCTTTCTTTGAAATTCTTTTTTCCCACTTTGAACACACGAAGTTGCTAACATCTTGCTCTTGTCACGGCTTCAGGGCAATCGTTGTAACTACCAAATAAAAAACGCACGGAGCACAAGAAGCGAAGGGTGGTGCTTGTGTTATTCGACTCAACAACGCCTTCCACATCGTGCCAACGTTCTCGACCAACAAACCGGTCTACAACATGGTTAGGAGAGGGGCCTGGACGAGATAAGTAGGATAGTTTTATCCTACTCGAGAAGCAGGCGGCTCGTTTAGAGAGTCAAATCGGCCTTTCGCGCCCGGGCAGTGGAAAAAACCCTGCTCTCCTCAACCCACCGGATCAAACACTCGCTTTCCCCCCTCGGTGGTCTTGACAGACGCGGGAGCCGACCCGGCCAGGGGGAACCCAACCCCGTGGATCTTCTGGCTCGTGAAGGCAAGACCAGGCGTCCTGCGGGCCACTCGGGGGCAGGCACTGGTTGGCGCGGTCCGGAAGCCACTTTCCCCCTGGAGCACGAAGGCGCTGGAAGTGAAACAGGCAGCAAGCAAGCGGGGGGACGGCTCCATCACGCCCCCGGGGCATACTTAGGGTCAGGGGAACAAGGGGTCACTTGTTCTTAGGGTAATTGAGTCCTCGGGGCGGGGCGGGGGGGAGACACAGTAAGACGTGGATTTAAAACAAGGAAAACTAAGAAAAAAAGGGTTCTTATCTAACCGTTCCAAGGATGAGCTTCCCTCGAAGATAAAAAAAACCCCATGGCGGAAAGTAATTTCCCTGGGGAAAAACACACCAGTCCCATCTTTTCACATATAGAGTTAGACGTTTTCGGGGGGGCGGGCGTGGTGGTCACGGCCTGTCCACAGCGGCTATGGGAGGGGCCGAGGCGGGAGGATCCGCTTGAGGGCCGGAGGTCAGAGGTTGCTGTGAGCGAGGCTGGACGCCACGGGACACTCACTCTAGTTGCCCGGGCGAAGAGCCGGAGACCTCTGTTTCTCAAACAAAAAAAGAAAAAAGAGATGGGCTGAGTGATGAGAAGCCCCAGGCTTGCCTGCCCGACCACGCTGGAGGGCCACAAATTCGGGGCGCCGTACCTTCCGTCGAAGGCACACCGGGGGTTCTGCAACGGGGGCAGGCTGGCGATGGAACGCGTCGCCGTGGGCACGAGCTCTGGAGGAGTCCGGGTTTTCCAACGGGAGTCATTGACAAGCAAGCACCAAACCCATGGTTTACACCCGAAGCGGGCTGGGGCACGAGAGGGCAGGAGGGCGGCAGTCATCCCCAGCCCCAGGTCCCGGAAATCAAAGGGGACGAAGAGCCGGGGCGCAGGGGTGGCTCACGCCCGGTCATCCGGCATCTGGTGGAGCGGGGCGGGAGGATCGCGAAAAAGTCAGGAGTTCGGGGGGACCAAGCCTGAGTAAGAGTGGACCCCCGTCTTTCTACTATAATAGAAAAGAATTAAATGGCCGATAAAAATATATGAAAAAACTAGCCGGGCGTGGGGTGGCGATTGCTGTTAGTCCAGCTGTCGCGGAGGAGGCTGAGGGCCAGGACGGATTCTTGAGCCCAGGAGGTCTGAGGTTGCTGTGAGCGAGGCTGGACGCCACGGGGCACCTCCCTCTAGCCTGGGCAAAACAAAAGCGAGACTCTGTCTCAAAAAAAAAAAAAAAAAAGAAAGAAAGGAAATCGAACGTATGGCCTCAGTCAGGGTTCGGACATTTTTCTAACCTACTTCCTGGGGATTTCCTGCTTTGGAAATTCAATTTCAACTTGCTGCTGTTTGAAAAAACTTTGAGATTCAGCTGCACTCGTAGATTCCACGAGGGGACGTTTATGGTCTACGAAAGGTCTGCCCTGACACCTCGGATTAAAGCCAGTAAAAGATACAGGGAACGAGCTTGAATCCGTTTTCCAGGAGATTCCCTAACCCCGTTCATCATTCTGTTATGGGTTCAAAAATAAGCCGGCAGCGGCTAAGTTTCAAACTCTAAAAAAAATGTCTCTTTTTTTTTAGGGGGGACAGAGTCTCGCTTTTGTGGGCCCCGGGGCTAGACTGAGTTTGCCTTCACAAGTTGACCCGACCCCCAGCTCCAAGCCCCACCATGGTACTTTTCAGTAGCCCTCGAGCCACGGAGTTAGCTTGCTGGGTCTCTACAGGTATTCCAAGAACATGGAGTACGTTTTTCCACTTTCACTCGCAAACTATCATTTTTCTTTACACTGATTTCAGTTTAAATTGGTCTGGCTGAGAAGGGGCTTTCTGATTTGTGGTTCTGGGCCTGGTCTTCTTCAAGTGGGGGCCATGGGGGACTCTCAAAGCAAGGAGACCTCGATTTATTTGATTGATTGATTGAGGGGACAGGAGTCCTCGCTTGTTGCCCAGGGCTTAGAGTGAGTGGCCGTGGGTCAGCTCGCTTCACAAGCAACCCTCCAACTCCTTGGCTCAAGCGAATCCTCCATGCCTCGCCTTCTCCGAGTAGGCTGGGGGACTACAGGCATGGCGCACCAGCACGGGGCTAATATTTTTTATATATAGTTTAGTTGTCCCAGCTAATTTCCTCCCTCCCCTCCTTCTTCCTTCCTTTTTTTTTTTTTTTTGAGACCAGAAGTCTGCTTTGTTGCCGGGCTAGAGTGAGTGCCGATGGCGGTCAGCTCGCTCACAGCAGAACTCGACTCCTGCGGCTAAGCGGATCTCTCCTGGCTCAAGCCTCTCCGAGTAGCTGGGGGACTACAGCGTGCACAATCGAAGGCCCGGCTCATTTTTTTCTATGTATTTTTACGCTTTGGCCAAATTCATTATCTTTCTATTTTTGAGTAGAGACCGGGGTCCGCTTTGCTTCAGGGGGCTGGTTCTCAAAGACTCCTGGACTTGAGCGATCCCTCCCGCCTGCGGACCCTTTCCAGAGTGATACAGATTACGGGCATGCGCCACCCACGCCCGGCAATTTTTCTATTTATATATTAGTTGGCCATTAATTTCCTTTCTATTTTTCAGTAGATGACGGGGTTCATCGGCTTCTTGCTGCAGGCTGGTCTCGAACTCTGAACCTTGAGCGATTCCCCCCCGCCTTCAGCTCCCAGGAAGTGCTGGGATGACAAGGGCGTGAAGCCACCGCGACGGCCACAGTTGATTTCAAAATATAAGGTAGGAAAAAATGCTGTGCTTTTTCCCCTTGCAACCCCAGGGAGATAGGCCTCGGTTCTGAGTTGAACTGGATTGGGGGGAGGGGATTTAAATAAAAACACTTACAATTAACTTACAGAAGTGGGCAATTCACCTAATTTCTGGAGCTAGCCAGACCCTTTTGTATCAGCAAGATTTTAGAAACTAACAGCGGTTCCCTGCTTGTCCCTTCAAAGCAATGAAAGAACCTCCAATGTTCAACTGGGGCAACAGCTTCATTTCTGGAGGCGTCCAACTTTGCCTGAAAGTCTGGCTTTTCAGGAAGTAATCTATAAAAAAAAAAAAAATGGTCTTTGTATCCGGCTCCCTGTTCGTTTTGTTGTAAATAATGATCTTGTTTGTCTATGACGCTGTGAAGAAACGAAATCAATAACTTTCGGTAAGTTGTTTAGAGACAATTCCTCGAGTGCCTGGCTTTGTGTGTGTTTTGTTGTTTTGCTCTCGTTTTAATTGTAAAAGTCTAATTGTGTCAGATGTTGTTGTTTGTGTGTTTTGTGTAATGGACGTTGTGGCTTGTACTGACATGAAGTTCTCTTTCAGGGAGGAGCAAATGCGAGTTAATGTCCAAGGAAAGAAGGAGAATGGGGCCCAATTCCTTGGACCCGTTTTTGTGTTGTTGTTTTTAAGGAGGTTTTGTGTGTTTTTTCAAACACTGACGTGTGTTTGTTGTCGGATTCCCTGGCATGGATAGCTCTCCCGGAATTCTCGTCGCTGTCTGAAAATGTTGGTAAACCCCGGATGGGAACAATCAGCTTGTGTTTTTGTGTAAGCGAATGCGCCAGCACGGGAGGACACGTTTACTGACTGCGCACTAACCCAGAACGTCCTGTTGCCAGCTAAGCACGTGTCTCTTTTTTTTTTTTGAAGACGAGTCTCGCTCTGTTGCGGGCTAGAGTTAGTGGGCCGTGGCGTCAGCCTCGCTCACAGCAACCTCAGACTCCTGGGCTCAAGCGATCCTCCTGCCTCAGCCTCCCGAGTAGCTAGGACCACAGGCATGCGCCACCACGCCCGGCTAATTTTGTCTATATATTTTTAGTTAGCCAATTAATTTCTTTCTATTTATAGTAGAGACACGGTCTCGCTCTTGCTCAGGCTGGTTTCGAAGTCCTGACCTCGAGCAATCCGCCCGCCTCGGCCTCCCAGAGTGCTGGGATGACAGGCGTGAGCCACCGCGCCCGGCCAATAAACAGGCTTTATCTCGTATGCCAGCTCTGGGAACAGCTGTTTGCGGTGCTGTGTCGAGGAGGGTCTGAAGCTCCGTCCAGGCGTGCTATGTGGGAAAGATCACTACTTCCTGCCAGGGGCCCAGGGTTAAGCTGAGAAGAGGAATGGAGGCACCTAGACTGTGTGTTCCCACGTGCCGGGCCGACGCGATCTATCTTGCAGTATTGCTCACCACTGTCATCTGGTTCACGAATTAAAGTGGACAAGAGGCCGGGCGTGGTGGCTCACGCCTGTAATCTCAGCACTCTGGGAGGCCGAGGCAGGAGGATCGCTCGAGATCAGGAGTTCGAGACCAGCCTGAGCAAGAGGAGACCCCGTCTCTACTATAAATAGAAAGAAATTAATTGGCCAACTAAAAATATATATACGAAAAATTAGCCGGGCGTGGTGACTCATGCCTGTAGTCCCAGCTACTCGGGAGGAGGCTGAGGCAGGAGGATCGCTTGAGCCCAGGAGTTGGAGGTTGCTGTGAGCGAGGCTGATGCCACGGCACTCACTCTAGCCTGGGCAACAGAGTGAGACTCTGTCTCAAAAATAAATAAGTAAAATAAAGTGGAAAAGAAAGCAAGCAAACAAGCTGGCTGGGCCAAAACCCCGGAGCTGATCGATTTTAATGACAACGTAATCATCCTAGTCTTTCTTTCCTTACTTTCCCATTAAGTTGCTCAGCAATTCCCAGGCAAGCAGCCCTCTCCTCATTGGTAGCCGGCTTGCAAAATGGGCTTCTGTTCTGCACCAGCTCCTGCTCCCAAGAACAGCCCGGGGGCAGGTCGCAGCTGGCACGTGAATGTAGCCTCCTCACCCCCGGGAATGTGGGTCCGGACCATCCCCGTTCCAGACCGGGAGGAAATTAACCGCCAGTTCTGCCGGGAACGACACATCGACTAAGCGCTCGGACCGAGCAGTCCACTCCCCACAGTCGGCAAAAGGCACAGCAGCGGTTGTGCGATCCAGCGGCACAAGCACGCTCCACTGCATTTGCTGCAGGCCTCCCCCTCCTTGTCTGCCAGGAAGCCCCTGAAGAGAAGCAGGTGTCCGGCGTCCAGGAGGAAGACCCTCCCGGGGCTCGCTGTGAAATCCAGAGGCAGAACCCAGAGCGATCACGCTTCTGGTGCAATTACGAGCGCCGCCCACGCTCTGCCAAGCGAGGAGGCTCGGCGGCTGAAGGGGGCAGCTTTCATCTTACATTTCCACTCCAATCAGCTCACGGCCCTCCTCAACTGGCCGAGCAAAACAAAGTGCAGGGGGAGTTGAAAGGGCTCCTCACGGTCTGCAGGGCTCGGCCTTGGAGAACAATGATGAGATGAAGGGGGCTGAGAAGCGGATCAGGAGACCCACAGCAACCAAAGGGCAGGCCGCGGACAGCCCGCCGGTGGCAGGTGCGGTTCAAAAGCCGCACCAGAGGCATTTAATAAGCTTCCCACCGTCTTCCCGCCCGCGGTTCCTTTCACTAATAGCGAGAGAACTGAACTGCTGCCCCTGACCTTGCTCGCTGCAAGGGCTAGCTGGGACTTAGCCACATCGCCAGCATAGCCACGCAAAAGCAAGCATTCTCCCGAGGACGCCCGGCTTCTCTCTTCCTGTCCCCCAGCCCCCGTCCGCAGAGGAGTCTCGGCGTGCAACGTCCCCCCAGAGCTGCGGGGCCGGGACAGACGCAGGAGACGGAGAGTCTCTGGGGAGTGCACGGTCTCCCGGGAGAGACGAAACTCGGGCACGTGAAAGGGGCCTGGGACCACGCAGTGGGCAGGGCCGGGGGTCTCAGGGACTGTGAATGCCCGACCCACGGAACCTGCTGAGCGGCGCCGGATCACGGGTGAATCCCGCAGGCAGGTCCTCACAGATCCCGCTGAGCTCTGACCCGGGAACTCTCC